TAGTTCATCATACTTATCTAATGACTAATCAATTCGAACAAGAATGAAATGCACGGTCTTTGTTAATCTGTCGACAATTACCCAGATTGAATCCTTTTTATTCGGTGTCAAAGGTAAACCTGTTAATAAATCCATCGCAACTCTTTCCCATTTTCATTGAGGAATAGAGATCTGTTGTAAGAGTCCTGAAGGTACTTGATGCTCAACTTTCACTTGTTGGCAGATTAACACTTTGCAACAAACTCTGTAATAGCTCTTTTCATGTCTGGCCACTAGTATCTCCCTTTTAAATCTTGATACATCTTGTTTCCTACTGGATGCATAGTCAACGGACTACAGTGCACTTCAGAAAGTATATCTATATTCAGTTCTTCATCATTTGGAATACAAACTCGGTCTCTGTAGTATAAGCATCCATTTGATTTTACTTCAAAGTCCTTAATTTCACATTTTTTAATTGTTCTATTTTTACTAAGAACTTATCATCCTTTCTTTGTGACTCCTTTATTCACTCCAACAATAGTGGTCTTAGCTTTAATTTGGCCATCAAAGCACCATTGTCCATTAAGGCAAATTGGGTGTCTAACATACGTAAAGCTGCAAAAGTTTTCCGGCTAAGTGCATCAACTACAACATTAGCTTTCCCGGGGTAGTAATCTATGATTGCATCATAGTCTTTAAGTAGCTCTATCCATCTACTTTGTCTCAAGTTTAGCTCCTTTTGAGTCAGCAAATATTTCAAACTTTTGTAATCCGTGTAAATGTAACAACGTCACCATATAAATAGTGGCGACATATCTTCAGTGCAAACACCACCGCTGCTAACTCAAGATCATGCGTCATATAATTCTTCTCATGTGGCTTAATTTGTCTCGAGGCATAGGCTACTACTTTTTCATCTTGCATTAAAACACATCCCAGACTATTATGGGAAGCGTCACTATAAATTGTATAGTCCTTGCCCGCTTCTAGTTGCATTAGCATTGGAGCTTCCGTTAGCACATTCTTTAAGGATTCAAAACTCTCTAGACATTTATCCGTCCAAATGAGTGACACATCTTTCCTTAATAACTTTTTCAAAGGGAAGGAAATCATTGAAAAGTCATTTACGAACCTTCGATAATATCCAGCCAATCCCAAGAAACTCCGTACTTCAGAAACATTTCTTGGAACTTCCCAATCTAGCATAACTTTAATCTTCTGAGGATCCACCTGAATTCCCTCTGCGGATACCACATGACCAAGGAATACCACTTCAGGTAACCAAAATTCACACTTAGACAACTTAGCATAAAGTTTCTTGTCTCGTAGTGTTTGAAGAATTACTCGAAGATGTGCGTCATGCTCTTCATTTATATTTGAATAAACCAAGACATCGTCAATGAATACAACCATGAACTGATCGAGGTACAGTTGAAATACTCTATTCATGAGGTCCATAAACATTGTTGGTGCATTAGTTAACCCAAACGACATTACTACGAATTCGTAATGGCCATACTGAGTCCTAAAAGCCATTTTTAATATCTTTTTCTTATATCTTCAATTGATGATAGCCAGAGTGAAAATCAATTTTGGAGAACACCGAAGCTCCCTCGAGTTGATCAAATAAATCTTCGATTCTTGGGAGAGGTACTTTTTCTTTATAGTCACCTTTTTCAGCTGTTGATAATCAATGCATAGACGCATCTAGCCATCTTTCTTCTTTTGAATAGCACTGATGCACCCCAAGATGATACAATAGGTATGACAATTGAGACATTAACTCATTTAGATTCTCTGGGGCCATTCTATTAGGAGCTATTAAAATTGGTGTTGCTCCCGGTATAACCTCAATTTGAAACTAACCTTTCTATCTGGAGGTAATCCCGGTAGCTAGAAATATGTCTAGAAATTCTCAGACTTTCGGAATGTCCTCCAGTCTTCTCTCATTGACTCGAATGTCGATCACATTGGTGATGAAAGCTTGGCATCATTGCAACATCAACTTCTTAGCCAACATTACTGATATCACATTAGCTAATGGATTAAATCTTTTGTTGACCATAATTACTTCTGAACCATCATAACTTTTCAAAACTACCCTTTTCAATCGACATTCAACATTGGTATAGTAACGGTACAATCAATCAATTCCCAAAATAACCTCGAACTCGTCAAAGGGTAATTCCATTAGATTAGCAGGGAATTCAATTCCCTGAATCCTTATGAGACACCCTTGACACAATTGATTCACCCGAGCACTATGCCCTAACGGGTTAGTCACGATCATATCATTACTTATAGCTTCTAATTGGATTTTCAATTCTCTCACCAATTTACTACTAATATAAGAATAAGTTGATCACGAGTCAATCAAAACCAAAACAAGTTTATCAACTAACTGAAAAGTACATACAATGATTTATGGATCATCACAATCTTCATTAGTCTTAAGGTTGTATACCCGAGCAGTCGACCACATTTTAGGTTGAGTGGCTGACTAGATTGATTTCTTCCTCTGCCTCGTCCTCTACCTCTCTGAGGTACAGTAGCATATCTCTCAGACTGTGCATGCTCTCTGATCATCATTGGGCAATCCAAGATAAAATGTCCCATGTCCCCATATCTAAAACATGCTTCGAAGACCATTTGACATATGCCACTATGATTTTTGCCACAATACTGACATTGACTTGGCCTTCTAACTCCAGATTCAGTAGATTGAGTTTGCTTAACTCTCACCGGATTTGATCCTTTACCTGAGTATGTAACTGATTCACATCTAGATTAAGGTCAAAAACCCAAACATCGACTTTTCTTCGATTACGATGCACTCGATAAGGCACCCGCTCTCTTAGTCAATTGGGTCTTGTGCTCCCCATATTTTTCATTTTGTGCTTGCTCTAAGGCTTTAGCTCGATTTACCACCTCTTGAAATGTAGAAAAGGTTCAACGCTAACAGCATCTTCTTCAATCTGGGGCGTAAACCATCTATGAACCAATAACGTGAGTCTATTTTCATCGGGACCAATTCAGCTGCAAATCTACTCAATTTATTAAACTCGCACTAGTACTCATACACAGTGCGATTCCCTTATTTCAAACACATAAACTCCTGCTTCATTTGTCTGATAAACTGATCACCGATATATTTGTTCTTAAATTCTTCTAGAAAGAACGATCATGTTACTTGGTCCCTATGAGCTCTCATCGTCACGTTAGTCCACCATATTCGTGCTTACCCTCGTAGTAATGAGACTACTTCATCTAGTTTTTCCATTTTAGAACCATAGAGATCCTCTAGCATGATATTAACGTCGTTTAACCAAAGATTCGCAATAATAAGACCTTCCTCAGTTTCTCCTCTAAATTTCGGTGCTCCTAGACTTTTAAGCTCTTTATCTATATTCATCCTAGGAGCTGAGGGAGCAGACGGTTGGGAACACGTCAGAATCACGTCCAACATCCTAAAAAAGACTCCTTGATCTTGCACAGCACTCCTTGAGGCACTTGTTCTTCACATTGCCTAACTGGGGCATGTGAATTACTACTTCCCTCATGTCCATCTCCCACTTCACTTCGGGAGCCCTCGTAGTCCGACATCTATTAAGACATAATCACTAACTCTATTCAGGGGGGACCTATGTGGCCACAAGGTAGCATCTGCATACCCATTTTATTTTAAAATATACCAATAGTTAATATATTATATCAAAAATAAAAATTCTGCACACCTTTTTTTTTATTTTTTTGACTTTTCTGCACAAATTTTTTGTTGTTGAAATTTATGCACCCCCTTTATATTAGCTTCAACGTTCTATTTTCTATAAGAGCTATAGGAAAAATGGGTTTTATTTTATTGAGAAGAATTCAATCTGATTGTATTCTTTTCAAGTTTAAAAAATTCAAAAGTTAAAAGAAAAAGGTTGATGAGACCATTTTTCCTTTTATTGGGGCACTTAGTCTAACGAGTTAGTGGGTTATATAGTTAATTAAAACAATCGTATTGAGTACTATAACACTTAGTTGAAATTATCAAAAAACCCTCGATTTTTCTATCCTATTGGTTGGATAAAAGCATAGTACAAAATTCAACTATTACTAAATCTTCCCTTTTACGTTTTAGTTTAAATCCACAGGCTCTGAGCCTCCAAACCCCACTGCTACTTAATTCTCAGTCTCTTGAGCCTAAACCACCCGTCACGACGCCGTTCACTGGTGAATTTCCTCAATCAATCTACATGTAAGTTGTTGCTCATTTCTTTTCCTCAGATAGTTAGGTTCTTACTCATTCTTTTACCCTCTTAAATTTAGTTAAATTTATATTTGAGTTTGTAAGTTTTGAATTTTTTTTTAATTGAGTGAGTTAAAATTAAGAGATAAAATTAAATTTTGAATCAATTTAATAGATTTTAGTGATTTTATGAAAAATATTTGAATGTTAAATTGTGATATGTAAAATTATTAATATGTATTTTTGGAAAGGAGAAAAAAATGGTATACTAAATTTGTGTAATTTAAGTATAAGCAATTTAGATATTTTAATTTTTAAGTTGAATCCATTAAAATTATTTAATTAGTAATTAAGATCTTATTTCTTTGATAATAAATATAATTACTAATAGTGAATTATAATCAATAATTACTAAATTTTGTAACTGTAGTAATAAGAAGATGAATGATGAAAAGATGAACTCTCAATGAAAGAAGAAGAATGGAACGTTGGATTGGTTTGTTAAAAAGTCCAAAAAGAATGATGCAAGTTCTTCCCAAGTGCCAATTTGTGTCTCATCACCGACTCAACCTTCAACAAATCAAGTCGAACAAAAATTTTCTTTCCCTTCAAATAATATGCCCCAAACTCAAGAAACCAAATGAGATCTACATGTATTACACGATATGATAGAACAACATTTGCATCAAGAGAGATGGAAACCCAAGTTAATGATATCTTTATTCCACATGATCCGGCTAAAAGGAAAAAAATTATTAATTATCATCCAATGGATCGAGAAACAATGAGGAAAGAATACATACAAAGAGGTGCTTGCCAACCAAAGAAGCACAAATTTCCTCAAACGGACTTCGGAGGAGGTACATTACGCCGCTTTAATAAATCTTGGTTTAATAAGTATTCTTGGCTTGAGTGTTGTGTTTCAAAAGATGTTGTATTTTTCTTTGTTTGTTACGTGTTTAAGAATGAAACTACCAAAGCTGCAGGAGGAGATGCATTTTTTTGTTAATGGGTTTAGAGGTTGTAATAGGCCAGTTCGGTTTAGAAAACATGTTGGTGGAATTAATAGTGTTCATAATCAAGCTTTTCAAAAGTTTGAGAATTTAAAGAACTTTAAGTCATCCTTGAAAGTTTCTTTAGACCAACAAACCGAGCAAGCTAAAAGTGACTACTGAATCCGCTTAACTATTTCTCTTCATTGTTTTAGATTTCTTTTACATCAAGGATTGGTATTTCGTGGTCATGATAAATGTGATAAATCAAGTAACAAGGGAAATTTTCTTGAACATTTGAATTGGATTGCGGAAAACAATGATGATGTGGGAAATGTTGTTTTGAAAAATGAACCTAAAAATAATCAAATGATTGCACCTTTGATTCAAAAAGAGCTTATCAATTATTGGACAAAAGAAACAACCAAGGCAATTGTAGAAGATCTTGGTAAGGATTATTTTGGAATACTAATAGATGAGTCAAGTGATGTGTCTGAAAAAGAACAAATGGCTTTGTGTGTCCGTTATGTTTATAAAAAAAGAATGATAAAGGAACGGTTTCTTGGAAGTGTTCATGTTGGAGATACCACATCTATATCTCTTAAAGAAGCTATCTTTTCTTTGCTTGATGAACATTCTTTGAGTTTTTCAAGAATTCGTGGGCAAGGGTACGATGGAGCTCGTAATATGAAGGGTGAACTTAATGGTCTCAAAACTTTAATCATGAGAGAAACACAATCTGTATACTACATACATTGTTTTGCTCACCAACTTCAATTAACTCTTGTTGTCGTTTTTAAGGAAAATAAAGATTGTGGTTGGCTTTTTGATACACTTGGAGATTTGTTGAATGTTGTTGGATCATCATGTAGGCAAAAACATTTGATTAAAGGAAAACAAGCTGAAAAAATTGCAAAAGCCTTTGAAAATGGTGAAATTGTGATTGGAAAAGGTTTAAACCAAGAGCTTAGTTTAGGTAGGCCGGGTGATACACGTTGGGGGTCTCATTATAAGTTGATTTTTAATGTGATTGATTTATATTCTACAATACATGAGGTGCTTGATTTGATGTGTAACGATGCTCGAAATGGTGATGATGCTCGAAAAGTCGATAATGTGAGTTTTGCAATAGAGTCATTTGATTTTATTTTCATAATTCACTTGATGAAGAGAATATTTGGGATTATGAATGAATTAAACAAATCTTTACAGAGAAAAGATCAAGATATTGTCAATGCTATGTCACTTGTTACTTTAACTAAAGAAATATTGCAAAATATGAGAGAAAACGAGTGTGAGTCTTTTTTTGCTACAATCACTTCATTTTGTAACAAGAATAACATTGATATTCTTAATATGGATGTTGTGTATACTCCTCCGGGAAGAAAGAAGCGTTGTAGTTTGGATACTACTAATATTCATCATTTTCGAATTGAAGTGTTCTTGGGAGTTATTGATCTTCAACTTCAAGAGTTAAACAACCGGTTTGATGAGGTTAGTATAGAGTTATTGACTTGTATGGCTTCTTTGAGTCCACTTGATAAATTTTCTTCTTTTGACAAACAAAAGATACTTAGATTTGTTGAGTTATATCTCGATGAATTTACAAGTGTTGATATGCGGAGGGATGATAGATTTTGGGTATTGAAAGATATGGGTGAACTTTCCATAAAGCTTGTCGAGACAAAGAAGCATCAAGTGTACCAAAAAGTCTATTTGCTCATAAAGTTGGTATAGATTCTCCCCGTAGCAACCACAAGTGTGGAAAGAGCATTTTCTAAAATAAACATCGTGAAGAATAAGTTGCGAGATAACATAGGTGATAAATTTCTATATGATTGTTTGGTCACTTATATAGAAATAGATGTTCTTGTCCAAATCGATGATGAAAAAATCTTGAAACGATTTCAATGAATGAAAGCTCATCGAGAACAATTGTAATTGTTTATAGTGTTTAGTATTTTTTGTGCATTTTGAATGAATTGTTATTTTGGATTTTTAATTATGTAACTTTTTTTATTAATGAATATTATAATATTTATTTTTGGACCCCCATTTTTTAATTCATAGATCCGCCACTAACTCTATTAGCAAGGACAACATACTAATTACCCTATCAGATCAGATATTTTTAACATTTAGTTGGCATGTACACTTTTATAACATAAACTGCTTCGTTCAAACTTAAAATTAGTTAAAATTTAGTTATGATACCAATAAATGTAACACCCCTAATACGTACCCCACCCGAAAAAAAATCTGAGGTGTCACATTGACTTTTCAAAACTTCGACTCTCTGAAAATTTATTGTAATTTAAAACTTGTATTTTTGTTTTAGTGATGAACCCTTATACAAAGTAAATATTGAAAATTCATATTTCAAAATGAAAATAAATACTTAATAATTTACATAAATGTAATATAGTAAGATTACAAAAATGATCAAAACATTTCAATTTAAAACTTTTATGGAAAAATGATAAGAAACCTACGATTCAAACTGTTCTGTTCTGATATGATCTTCTTCAGGTGTATGTTGTCCTTTCCTAGCTTTGCTCCTCCGATCTCTTTGAACCTACCTATGAAAACACTCACAAGATAAGTCATTGACTTAGTAAGGCAATAATGAGTATACTAAAACATTTAAAAACACTTTCTTATTCATCTCATAGAAAATGTTGTATACTGAAATGAAGATACATTTCATGAAAACAATGTATACTTTTACACATTGTTCAATTTATATCACTTTGTTTTAATAGCCCAATGCATATCATTCATAACTCAAGGTATCTAAATACATTGAGGTTGTGCACTATAATTGCAGTCACCACTGCTAATAAAATTTGCACCGAAGTGCCATGTAGAATATGCACCGAAGTACCACATAGATATGTCCCGAAGGACCACATAGAACCCTCGACTCTTGGCATGCCAACTATACCTCTAATTCTCATACATATACTTTACGCTTTAGCTTTATAGTTAATTTTCATTGCTTTTGTACTACCCCAAATATCGGGTTGGTGACCATAATAAAATGATTTAAAATTTGAAGGATATAATTTGAATAAATACAAAGTACAATAAATGAATTAGGAAATTGTGTTTAAGACCTATTAGTAAGAATGGATGAATGAAGGGGCATTTTGGTCCTTTAGGGGGAAATGGATTTAAAAGTTTATTTTAAGAAAGGGAAAAGAAAAGTTAGCTAAGTTATCTTCTTATTTTTTGCTTGTCTCGTGCTCTCCTCCATAGCCAAAGGTAAGTTTTCTTCAAGTTGGATTTTCCTTTAGTTTATGGGCTAGTTTTGAAACCTTAAGTGATATAAAGGCTTAAGGAAAGTTCAAGGAGGATTAAAACTAAGAGATGAATGATTTATTTGAGATCCAAGAAAATGGGCTTTTGAGTGAAATGTTGAAATATTAGTTTTTTTAGGTTTACAAGCATATTTGACTTGTCAAAGAAGTAAATAAGAGATTAGAAGCTTCAAAGTGATTAAAAAGTATGAAAAAGTAGTGTGATTCTTAGTTTAGGATGTTCTTTAGAGATTTTAGATGCTATAAGAAGCTGAATGGAGGAAAGTTAGTTGGGTTTAGTGATGATAAGTTTAAGGGTATTGTTGGAGGAAAAAGAAAGAGAATTAAACAAAATTTGGGTAAAAATTCAAATTGAAAAATGAAAAATCTAGGTAATGGTATCGGTACTGGAAGAACAATACCGATATTATAGGTTTAAATTTGAGGAAATCCGATGAACAATATCGATACTAATGCAAATAGTGTCGATACTGCTGTGGGTATCGATACTAAGAGGAAGGTATCAATACTATGGATGCCAGAATGTAAAAATTGTATCGATACTGAAAGGAGTATCGACACCATATTATAGAAGTATCGATACCATAGTAGGGGTACCGATACTGTTGAGCCTGGAATTTTAAGATATGATGAATTTTAATAGAAATTGAAAATAATAGAACTTTTTAAGTATTATTAAAAGAATAAACGTTAGAAATTATACTAACTTTTGTATGGTATATGTAATAATGGATGCTTGTATAGATCATAACCAAACTCCAGAGTCAAGCAAGAAAAAGGGCAAAGATAAACTTGTCGAATAGCTGGACATCCTTAAAGCATACTAGTGAGGCATATCAGGTGAGTGCATTCATTGTACTTATATGAGATGAGGAAGACTCACAATGAGTCAATCTCGAAGGTCTTGTTAAATGTATTTTTTACAGTATTTTGATATATTTTCATAATGATAATGATATTATGAATAAATTTTAGAGTATGAATTTCTCTAAAATAAATAGATGAATGTTGATGTTGTTCATTGGTTATCGATGTTGCAGAAATAAATGTTTAAATCTGTGGATCTGACTTAAAAGCCCATTGTATGTGCATTGAGAGTTGTAGGTGCATTTCGACATACTTTGTGTCTGATAGTATTGATCGATTTTGTTAATGCATAACGGTGCATTTTCGGCATAAAAGGTGCCACCCATGGTATTCATAATGAGGTGAATTACCATTTTGACATACTTCGTGTATGAAAGTTATTTATCGATTTTGCTTAATGCATAAGGGTGCATTTTCGGCATAAAATGTACCACCTATGGTATTCATAATGAGGTGAATTACCATTTCGACACTTCGGTGCAACGCATGTACCTTGCATTCTCAGTTGACATACATTGGGAAAAATAAAAGATAATTGGGAAAAAATACAGATAATAGGTATGTTGGACATACTAAGAATAATTTCGATGACTATATGAAAGAAACTTGGTTTAACTAAGATATTTTTAAATGATTCTTATGAAGTATACGATTTATTTCATATTTTGATAGTCATAATATACTTGTGTATAAATTACTATCCCTTTACATTATTATGCCTCACTAAGTAAATACTTAACATGTTTTGATTTCACATGTAGGAAATTGCAAAAACTAGTAGAGTAAGGAGCAACAAAGATCATTAATCCAAGGTTGACTAATCAATAACTGTAGGACATTTATGTCTTCTTTTGATAATTAGATGGCATGTATTTGAATTAAGAAAATGCTCTGGAATGTATTAAAGTTATAATTTTGTAATATGTTACAACTAATGTTTTATTTTATATTAAAATGTTTTGTTTTATTTTCGAAACAAAATTTTATGGGTTTAGAAATAAGAAAATGTTTTAAAAGTCATGTGACACTTGTGACTTGTATACGAAAACATATACGGGAAATGAGTGTTACATTTATTGGTATCAAAGCTATAGGTTTAGCCGATTCTCGGTCGAAACTGGGTTTATTTGACTTTAAAAAGGGTTACATGCCACTAAGATAGTCAAGGTTACATATATGGTGTAATTAGAATATGATTGATGTCACTCTTTACTGACTTGAGTGTTATTATTATGTATGTCCTATTAGATGTCAGAATCTTTGAACTCGCGAAGAGCGGCTGAACAAGAAATTAGGGAATGAGGGGGTAACGAAAGCTATAAGGCTAATAGTGAGCATCCGATTTCATCTGAAAGCTCTCGATGCTATTCTGACTCGGTTCCAACCTTCTTCATCCCCCTATACCTCTAGCACCGTAGATGTTGTCCTAAAAGAGCTGAAGAGTTTATGAGCTCTTGTGTTCCGGGTAGAAGAGGATGAAGGTCCTATGGAGGTTGACTTATGGCTAAATGATGTTATGATAATGCTTGAAAGTCTTCATTGCTCGGATTTTGAAAAGTTAGGTGGAGCTGTATCTTTACTTCGGGGATCAATTTGAGTATGGTGGCCAAATACTACGATGTATGCACCACTGGATCAAGTGACATGGAAGTTCTTTAAGGAGGAATTTAAGAACAAGTATGTTGGTAAGCAGTTTACACGGGCGATGATGCTAAAGTTCCTTAGTTTGAAACAAGGTGATCGAGTAGTACATGATTACGAGGCTAAGTACAACAAACTGAGCCATTTTGCTACTGAGGTAGTTCTCAATGACAAAGTTCGACGTGATTGGTTTGTCGAGGGTTTGAGGCCAAAGTTGAAAGAGATGTCGTTGTCTTTAAACTTGCATAGCCTGCAAGAAGTTATAAACCAAGCTAAGGCTATTAAAAGAGCTAAAGAAGAGACTCTAGTAACTAATTAGAGTATGCAGACAGGGAAAAGAGTTGGAATGTATTCAATTCCCCATCATGCTAAGAGAGGCAAGGGCTCGAGTTCCAGATATACTGATAGAGATGGTTCTACTGCAGCTTCGCAGAAAACTAAACAATCCCAATCTTTTTCTGCTAGCTCGGGTAAAGCATTTGGAGAGAGAACTCTATGTCGGACATGTGGAAAATTTCATCGTAAAGTATGTAGATTTCTCAATGGAGCTTGTTTATAGTATAGTGAAACTGGTCACTATGCCCAAAACTTTTCTAAAAAATCTGGGGATAATTTAACACATTATGAGAGATTTGTGGTAGCTTCTAATAGGAACAGAGGTAGAGGTAGATCTAGAGGACAATCTGATTCAATATCATGATAAGAGACTTAAGGAGTAGCCAGGATTTACAACATTAAGACTAATGAGGATCGGGATGACCTGCAGATCTGAAAAGGTACATTCTATCTTTCTGATAAACCTGTGTTTGTTTTGATTGACCCTGGTTCTATACACTCTTACATTAGTACAAAGTTGGTTAGAACTAGAGGAATTCCTTTATAACCAATTTTTAGTAAGATGATAGCGGT